CGCATCTCCGTCCTTACAATAATCGAAAGCTTGAGTTTCGCTCTAAAAAATATGTCTTTCTTGGGTATAGTCCGTTGCACAAAGGTTATAAATGCCTTCACATTCCAACAAATCGTGTATATATTTCGTGTGATGTTGTTTTTGATGAGCATGTTTTTCCTTTCTCTAATCTTCCAACTCCTGTGATCACACCAACTACCTGTGCATTCATCTCCTTTATTGCCTGATCAATTTGTAGATGCTGCACACTCGCCTTTTTTGTTGTCTAACCATGGTGTAGGAACTGGTAGAGGTGCTCGGCTTGTTCTCCTTGAGGATTCATCCCCTGCTCCGACGGCTTCTTCATCGGATCACGTCGATCCGGCCACTGTGCCCTCTTGCATGGCGCATGCAGGGTCTCCTGCACCCGCGCCCGCCAGCCACCCGGATCCGGCTTCGGTCGCAGTGGAGCCGCGCTCCCCGGATCGCGTTGATCCTGCGCCCACTTCCCCCTGCATGGGTCATGCAGGGTCGGGTTTCATCACACCCGCTCCGCGCCCGGCCCTGGCTCGGCTGGAGCTCCCTTCGTCGCCGGTTTTCGCCTCGCCTGCCATCGGGTCGGCTTCGCCTGCATCGCCCGTGCCTACGGACGCGCCTGGATCCTCCTGTTCGGCGACGCCCGCACCTACTGCCTCGCCTCCTGGCGGTTCGTCAGTGTCGCAGGCACCATCTCCTGTAATACCTTCTTCTCAGGAGACGCAGGCTACTTCATCGACGGTTCCTGAGATCTCCGTCGCGCCAACTGCTCAGGTTGCTCCGCGACCACACACTCGCAGCAAGAGTGGTATATTCAAACCGCTTCAACGCACCGATGGCACGGTTGCCTGGCTCGCGGCCTGTATAGCTCACTCTGCAACTGATCCTTCTGCTGAACCCCGTCATTATCAAGCAGCTCTGGGTATTCCTCACTGGCGATCTGCAATGGAACAAGAGTATCAAGCATTGCTCAAAAATGGTATGTGGCGTCTTGTTCCTCCGCACAGTGGTGTCAATATAATTGATTCTAAATGGGTATTCAAAGTTAAGTGACATGCTGATGGCTCTATTGAACGGTATAAGGCTCGGCTTGTTGCTCGTGGGTTCAAACAACGTCAAGGTCTTGATTATGATGATACCTTCAGTCCTGTGATCAAGCCGACGACTATTCTCATGCTCTTGTCTCTTGCAGTTACTCGTGGGTGGTCTCTTCGACAGCTCGATGTTCAGAATGCCTTTTTGCATGGTGTTCTTGATGAAGAGGTCTATATGCGTCAGCCACCTGGGTTTGTTGATCCTACTCGTCCACAACATTTGTGTCGTTTGGTCAAGGCTCTCTATGGTCTCAAACAGGCGCCACGTGCTTGGCATGCACGTCTTGCTTCTGCTCTCCGTGCACATGGTTTTGTTCCATCGACAGCTAATACTTCCTTGTTCATGCTACAGCGCCCTACGGTCACTATGTACCTGTTGGTGTATGTTGATGACATCATCTTGATTAGTTCGTCGGTTCTTGCTGCCGATCGGCTTGTTTCTGCTTTGAGTGATGATTTTGCCATTACAGATCTTGGTCGGCTCCATTATTTTCTTGGCTTAGAGGTTTCTCATTCGGATGCCGGTCTGACTCTTACTCAGCATAAGTACTCTCTGGATTTGCTTCGTCGTGCTGGTATGCTTCAGTGTAAGCCTGCTTCCACTCCCATGACAGCTTCTGATAGACTCTCTGCACTTGATGGTACTCTTCTTCCTTCAGATGAGGCTACAACGTATCGCAGCATTGTTGGTGGCTTACAGTATTTGACGATTACTCGTCCTGATATCTCTTATGCGGTGAACAGCGTCTGCCAGTTTCTTCATGCTCCTCGGGACACTCACTGGACTGCTGTGAAACGTATTCTGCGCTATGTTCGGTTGACTGCTGTTTTGGGTCTGCACCTTCGGCCTGCCCCTTCCGGTAGTCTTTCCGCGTTCTCTGATGCAGATTGGGCTGGTAGCCCTGATGACAGGCGATCCACGGGGGGATATGCAGTGTTCTATGGTCCTAACTTGATCGCTTGGAGTGCTCGTAAACAAGCTACAGTGTCTCGTAGTAGTACTGAAGCTGAATACAAAGCAGTTGCTAATGCCACTGCTGAACTTATCTGGGTTCAGGCCTTGCTTCGAGAGTTGAGAGTCCCTCAGCGTCATCCACCTGTTCTTTGGTGTGACAACATCGGTGCTACGTACCTTTCTTCAAATCCGGTATTTCATGCTCGAACGAAACACATTGAAGTTGACTATCACTTTGTCAGAGAACGAGTTTCACAGAAGTTGCTTCAGATCAAGTTCATTCCATCAAAGGACCAGCTTGCCGACATCTTCACGAAGCCATTGCCATTACCTCAGTTTGAGGGTTGTCGTCGCAATCTTAATCTTCTGAATTCTTCAGACCATGGTTAAGATTGAGGGAGGGTGTTAGACTCATAGACTTGTACGTATTGTAATCTTAGTACATGTTGTATTTGTACCCGATGAGGTACCCCCTTGTTATATATGTTATAGAGGCCGACCCCTAGAGGTGTCGAAGCCCATAACCCCAAAACCCTTCGTCTATCACCTACAAACTGCTGCAGCTGCACCTACCCCATGGAAAACAGCGGCGTTAACATTGATCTTAGCAGTATCACTAGTGGCCGGAATCCACTTCCTTGGTGCAGCAGTAACTGGGATGTTAACACGGGACGATATTGGATTCTTTTCCACATCCAACTCTGATAAGAAATGAGTGATGAACATGTAAGTGGATAAAGGGCTTTGATGCAACCCTTCGTGGATCAAAGGGTGCTTGGATACAAGGGACTATTTTTAGTCTGACTAAAAATAGTCTCTTTTAGAGGCTAAAGTTCCAAGCACCCCTGACTAAAGAGAGGCTAGGACTAGTCTTGAGGCTAAAATCTTTTAGTCATGGGAAACCTACTAAAATATGTATTAGCTCTCTCTCTCCTCATTTAATTCCTCTACTTAGTTCTGGATTGGAGGGTTTGGAGGATAATAAATGCTCAATAACTAGATTTTAGTCTCTTTAGTACTTGGATCCAAGCATGGATGAGACTAGCAAGTTTTAGTCCCACTACTTTTAGTCATGGGACTAAAACGTATCCAAGCATGCTCTTAGCTTCCGTCTCCGCCCGTACGTGGTTTGCAGCTTAGTAAGTAATGGGCCAATTTTTTTGTTACGGGCCTCTATAAAAGTTGGACCTCACGGCCTGCCCTCTGGGCTGCCCTTCTTCCCCCTTCCTTACGGAGAAGCAAATAGAGTTTGATTATGTCTGTGCTAAACTTTCAGATTCAAATTAATAGTCCCATCCTACCCCTTTACATCAAATTCTAGCAACTTATATGCTTTTGGAGTTGCAAGAATCAACAAAGCGGTGAGATGTGATTCATCTTTAGCCAAGAGAACTGAAGAAAGATGCCTACTGCATGTATATGCATCATTAATCGAAAAAATGCTGAAGCGAGAAAACGAGCAGAGGCGCATGAATCCAAAGAAAAAACAACATGGGGTGACCAGCCTACCTAGAAAGGTAGCCGATCTGAAGATTCCGAAAAAGTTGATGCAGCCATGATGGGTGCGCAGAACATTTGTCGTTGGAGCTAATAAATAAATCATAAAGAAGCAGAGAGAGCCGGGGATACGGGAAAAAATTGATAGCGGCCCGCCTGAAGAACAGTGACACGAGCAGGCCATTGATTGAGCTGAGCTCGGGCAACCTCCTTTCGCCATCGGCAGCTGCACGCACGCCAGCACCAACAACATCAAGCCGAGCCGCATTCGCCCACGCGAAGCCCCGCAGCAAGGCGCTGCCGAAGGTGAGGCTGGACACGACCACTCCGGATCTGGGAGCCCTGAGAGCCTCGACCACTAATCCATGCCCCAACCATGGCACCGCCGAGGACGGCCCTGATCAGTGCCGCGCCAGACCCGCCTCCCACGCGCAGACCGCCCGCCAGGAGAGCATACGCCCCGCATCCTCCTTCGTCACAGCTACCAGCCACCCACCGGAGAGGGGCTCCAGCACCACGGCATGGGGACGCCGCCTCGGATGCACGAGCGTCAGCGATGCGCCTGGTTTCTTCTAGCAATCAGTCGATGTGTCACCCGTAAATTGTTTTCCTACTTTTATTAAGCTTAGTGATAGAAAGGACCCCCACAAATAAGGAAATTACATCCATGTCCTCGAGAAACCCACCAACCGGCCACTCCACCGCGAGTTGAAGGTCCGGCGCCGCTGCCGGCATGACTCTGAAATCCGCAGTCGGACCTTTTACGGAGGGAAGTCTTCAAGCAACGGCCCAATCGGGCTAGCGTACCAGAGAAGAGGCCGAAAGGATGCACCACCACACCTTCCTCGCCGGCGACGAAGAAGGTAACAAAAAGGAGAGCCCCCATCGAGAGGGATCTGGAGGAAGACAAATTTTGCACGGCCGTCATACAGAAAAACGACAAACGAACAACAACCAAATACGCAATCTTGGTGCTAACCGGCGAGAAGAGCAGACCTCCAACTCAGCGGCGACCGAATCACAGGGATGGGGAATGAGTTAAGGTAGAAATTATTTCCCGTGCCGCTGTCTTCATCATCCACACGTTAACTTTTCTCTTCTCATGTTGCAACGCACGGGCATATTTGCTAATATTCGTAAAAAAATAGTAATTAATAGTATTAGTATTAGTAATTAATAATTAGTATTAGTATTAGTATTAGTATTATTATAGTATAGTAGGCAGAGATTCCGAAAGTGAAACAGTGAGGAAGAAGCGGGGGCTGATCTGATGGCTGGAAAACACGCATCGGACGGTGGCGATGCGACCGGTTGGGAACCGGCGCAGAGCATCTCCCTAGAAAAATGAATTGGAGATGCCCTAACCTCATCTCACCCTCGTCAGTCGTCTGTTCGCTACCACGCTTAGGCACCTCCCGCCTCAGCCTCGAGTGGCGCCCATGGCCATCTCCACGGCCCTCGCCGTCCGCGCCTCTCACTCTACCGCCCCACGTCTCTCCCGCTCGTGTAATCACCAACTGCTCGTTTTCAGTTCGTCCTTTGCCTGCTCTCCTTTGTTTAGGCGGAATGGAAGCAGTGCATCTCCGCGCCTCCGAGGTGAGCGTCTTTCTGTATTTTTGTTTTGTTTTTTTGGTTATGTAGAATTACTTTTCTCTTCTATGAATTGAGTGGAGCAACGAAATATTGAGTTGTGTAGGCGACCACTGTTTGGAAATGGATAATCTGATTTGATGCGGGTTTAGTAAGGTGTCGGAGATTGTGGTCTAATGATTAGAACGTCTTCTGATTGTTGTCCAGTGTGAGACAGTACACTGGTGACACGCTTATGTGATTCCAGGATGTTTACTTCTTATAAGCCACACATTGCATACCATAAATTGATGATCAACTTGTGTAATCCAGCTGTATACACTGTGCAATCGTTTGTATTTTCTGTTGAACAGGTATGCACATATTGTCTGTGCCTAACATTTCAGAATGCATCAAGCGTGGATGAAAGCATATGTAGCAAAAGCTATATCTTCCGTAGCAGTAGTGAATGTCTCATCAATCTGATCTAATTTTGAAGTTGGTTTTTGGCCCTGTTTCAGGTCGAACAAAACTTTCAGATTTTTCTGCATTAAGCATATGTTAGACACTGCATTGTATTAGCACAAATCAAGATGGTTTGAAGAGGAAGTCTGTCTTTAATGTGATAACTGATGACTAACGTGGGAATATTGAAGTTGTCGTTCATTTTGGTGCTGGGTTTGCAACCTCTGCACTAAAACGGTATAAGCTGGCAAGCAACCAACTTGAGTGGGCTAGGTTGCTGAAGCTGACTTTAGTTGGCTGATGCAGACCAGTGTTCGGGTAATCTGGAGAAAGACCGGTCGAAAGTGATTGGATCTAGGCCTCAGATTTGTTCATTTCTGTTAGCGCCCCTGACGAGAGGGACCCACTGGGCAGCAACCACAACAACTCTACAGCTGCCCAGCGGCCCACACGAGTCAAGCGGCCCAGCCCGCGCACCCACGGGCCTGAATGGATCAACTGAGCCCGCGAGCACGACTACTTCAGGGGAGACGCACGAAGAGCACACCATCCAGTGGATCAGGACGAACCGGCGGCTACCTACTTTCCTCTTCCCCAATCCTAGTTCTTCCCATGTTCATTCTCCATTCGAGAGCGATGCTCCTGTAATCGATTTGTACTAGCTACTACTCCGGAGAGCAACAGTAGATCGATTCTAACATCTGGTATCAGAGATCCAGCCACCACACACCTCCACCCCGTTCTGGCAAACCTCATCGAGACAAGAGGGTTGCGGCACGCGCGTGAAGCCATGGATCCGAGCGTCTCCGCCTTCCTCACTCGCTTCGAAAACAAGATTGAGGCCGCCATCGACGGGCTGACCAAGGCTCAGTAGTCCACGGCGACGAAGATCGACGACCTTCTATCATGGCGTCCCGATCTCGAGCGCCGAGTGGTGGATCTGGGCGACGCGGTCACAGCACTGCAACGTGCACACGCGCCGCCACCAGCTCGCTCCGGCACGGATCTGGTGCATGAGAGCACTGAGAGGGGATCCATCCTCAAGGGCCCGATGGCCACGGCGAATTACAGATCAAACGGGGGCCATCGGCGGCGTCCCTCACGCCGCCGCCGCCGCTCTCGGCTAACGGTACAGCCACGATTCCCATCTCCCCAGTTCTGCTGTCTCCGTTTTCGCATGCCAGTCAAATGCTCACCGGCCTTGGCCAGGCACACCCCTCTATTTCCTTTCCGCAGTTCTCGGGCGGAAATCCTAATATATGGAAAACCCTTTGTGAGCAGTATTTTTCCATGTTTGGGATTGTGCCTTCGTTTTGGGTTCCTATGGCATCTCTGAACTTTTTGAGGCCAGCGGCAATGTGGCTGCAGTCCATCCAGCGCCGTCTGGGCGAGTTCGATTGGGACTCGTTCACCGCACTGCTGTGCACGCGGTTCGGCCGAGATCGTCACCAAACTCTCATTCGGCAGTTTTATTGAGTTCGCCAAACCACTACCGTGGCAGATTATATTGAGAGATTTGAGTCTATCATCAACCACTTGAATTCATACTCTGAATCAATTCATCCTTACTATTTTCTCACGCGTTTTGTCGAGGGCCTTTGGACGGACATCAGGGCGGTCGTCATGGTGCAGCGACCACCTGACCTGGACACGGCGTGCGCGCTCGCGCAACTACAGGAGGAGGTGGCGGATGGAGCGCGGGGACACCCACCACGACCACCATATGCGTCTCCAAGGGCAGCAGTGCCATTGCCACTGCCCCCACCTCCGGTGCGCCATCCGACCCCTACGATCGCCACCGATCGGCGTGGAACTGACGCCGCGCGCGCGGACTCGTCCAAGATCAAAGCGCTGCGGGACTATCGAGGCGCCCGCGGCCTCTGCTTCAAGTGCGGTGAGAGGTGGGGGCATAATCACGTGTGCCCCACCTCAGTCCAACTGCATGTCGTCGAGGAGCTCCTCGACATGATCGGCCTCGACAACTTCATCGACACCAAGATCCCACAAGACGAAGGCCCGAATGACACGGTCATGGCAATCTCTTTATCTGCCGTGACTGGGGGCGTCTCGGCCAAGGCGTTTCAGTTGCGTGCCTGGATACAAGGGCGCGAGGTACTCCTCCTCATCGACTCAGGCAGCTCCAACTCTTTCATCGACGAGCAACTGGCCACAACTCTCGTCGGGGTCCAAGCAATGGCCAAACCAGGCCGTGTTCGTGTCGCGGATGGTGGCGAAATGGTCTGCTCAACCTACATTCCACACTGTGCGTGGTACGCTCAAGGGCATGAGTTTTTCACGGATCTGAAGGTGCTTCCTCTCGGTACCTACGATGCCATCCTAGGGATGGACTGGCTGGAGGAACACAGTCCCATGACCGTTGATTGGCGCGCCCGTTTCATCGAGACAATCACCCTAGCAGGACCGATCCGGCTGAATGGACATGATGCAGCTTCGGTTGTCTGTGAAACCATCAACAGCATCCAATTACAGAGCCTCTGCAGCAACGGGGCTGTCTCGCATATCATACACCTATGTATGATTGCACCAGACCAGGAGTCAACTGCACCTGTTCCGGACTGCATTCAGAAAGTGGTCGATGATTTTGCGGATGTTTTCTCTGAACCAAAAGGCCTTCCCCCGCGGCGTGCTTGTGATCACAAAATACCGCTCACCCCTAGAGCACAACTAGTCAACATTAGACCTTACAGACACAAGCCAGAGCACAAGACAGAGATAGAGAAACAAGTCGAAGAGCTGCTGCGATCAGGTGTGATACAGAGAAGCACGAGCCCATTCTCCTCACCAGTCATTTTAGTCAAGAAGAAAGACGGAACATGGCGACTATGTATCGACTACCGTCAGCTCAACGCTCTCACAGTGATCGCCAAGTTTCCGGTACCTGTCATTGAGGAACTCCTGGATGAACTTCACGGTGCAGCTTGGTTCTCCAAACTTGACCTTCGCGCAGGCTATCGTCAAATTCGCTTGGCTCCCGGAGAGGAATACAAGACAGCCTTCCAGACGCACCAGGGCCATTTTGAATTCAGAGTGGTCTCGTTTGGCCTCGCAGGTGCGCCGACCACTTTTATTGGAGCAGTCACCACCACTCTCAAGCCTGTCAACCGTGTCTGTGTTCTGTTGTTCTTCGATGATATTCTCGTCTTCAGCGCAACACTCCAAGAGCACGTCGGTCGATCATCTGAGGCAGGTGCTTACTCTCCTCCGCAGACTGTTGGAAGGCTAAGCTCAGCAAGTGTGCCTTCGGTCAGCAGCAGATTTCCTACCTGGGGCATGTCATCAACTCAGAAGGCGTCGCTACCGACCCCTCCAAAATTGCAGCAGTCAACAACTGGACAGCTCCGACAAACGTCAAAGAGGTTCGCAGCTTCCTGGGGCTTGCAGGCTACTATCGAAGGTTCGTCAGAAACTTTGGTGTGATCGCACGTCCTCTGTTCAACCTGCAACCTGCTCAAGAAGGGGACTCCTTTTCTCTGGACCTCCACAACTGAAACAGCATTTCAAGTCCTCAAACAGCAGCTGATTTCTGCTCCCGTGTTGGCTCTCCCTAATTTCAAACAAGCCTTTACAATCGAGGCTGATGTGAGTGACCACGGCATCGGGGCGATCTTACAGCAGTAGGGGCACCCGATCGCTTTTATGAGTAAAGCACTCAGCCCACGCTATCAGGGGTTGTCCACGTATGAGAAGGAATACTTGGCTATAGTCGTAGCCATGGATCAGTGGCGTCCGTACCCGCAACACGCTGAATTTGACATCCTGACCGATCAGAAGAGCTTGATTCACTTGGAGCAACGTCTGACAACCCCTTGGCAGCAGAAGGCGTTCACTAAACTGCTCGGCCTGCGATACCGCATCCGGTACAAGAAAGGGATTGAGAATGCTGGTGCAGACGCGCTATCTCGTGCCAAGCCAAGCGACACACTTTTCTCCACCACGTCATGCAACCCGGCCTGGCTCGAGGATGTCACCAACAGCTACCACAACAACGATCAAGCTTCGCGTCTGCTGTCCCAACTTGCCATCAGGGAAGACCCAAAAGGCAGATTCACCCTTCGGCAAGGGATAATCTACTTCCGAGGCAGGATTTGGCTGGGGGGGAGCACTCATATACAGCAGAGAATCATATCAGTGTTTCACGACAGCCCCATCGGCGGCCATTCAGGGTTTCCCGTCACCTACCGTCGCATCAGACGTCTCTTTGCCTGGCCTAAGATGAAACTTCAAATCCTGCAGTACGTCCGCTGTTGCCAGGTGTGTCAGCAAGCTAAGCCAGACCGTGCCGCATCACCAGGGTCTGTTACTGCCTCTACCAGTTCCACAACAACCATGGGATATGATTTCCATGGATTTCATGGATGGCCTTCCCCAGTCCAGCAAGTTCAACTGTTTGTTGGTGCTCGTCGACAAATGAACCAAATTTGCTTATTTCCTCCCTCTGGCTCATCCATACACGTCAGCTTCAGTGGCACAACTATACATGAACCAGATCTACCGGACGCATGGTTTACCCAAAGCAATCGTCTCTGACAGAGACCCAGTCTTCACTAGCCATTTCTGGCAGGAGTTATTCCGTGGAGCAGGCGAACTCAGACTGAGCACAGCCAATCATCCGCAGACTGACGGCCAAACGGAACGTGTCAATCAGTGCGTCGAGACATTTCTTCGCTGTTTCACTCAAGCTTGTCCAAGGAGATGGAGTTTCTGGATCCCACTCGCTCAATTCTGGTACAACAACGCACACCATTCTGCTATAGGCATGACTCCATTCAAGGCACTGTTCGGGTACGAGCCTGCACAACTGGGGATCTCCGCGGATAGTGTTTGCTCTGTGCCAGCGCTGCAATCATGGCTGGACGAACGAGCAACAGTTCAAGACCTGCTGCAGCAACATCTGAACAGGGCGCGACAACTCATGAAAGACCAAGCAGACAAGAAAAGATCTTTTCGAGAATTCCAAGTGGGTGAGAAAGTGTTCCTCAAGCTACAACCATACATCCAATCCTTAGTGGCACCGCGGGCGAACCACAAATTAGCCTACAAATTCTTTGGACCATTCCTCATCATCGACAAGATCAATGAAGTAGCGTATAAACTGCAACTACCACCAGAAGCCACGGTGCACCCAGTTTTCCACGTTTCGCTGCTTCGCCGCGCCCTACTCCCTGGTATGTCGGTCGAACCACAATTGCCTCATTGCTCTGATGATCTTGCTGTACCAATGGCAGTAGTGCAAACACGCTGGCGCAAAAAGAACGGGGGTATGCAAGAACAAGTCAGGGTGCAATGGTCCAATTCTGCAACCTTGGGCACCACCTGGGAGGATAAGGCCAGCCTCATGGCGTGCTTCCCGCATGCAGAGGCTTGGGGACAAGCCTCATCTCAAGGAGAGGGGGATGTTAGCGCCCCTGACGAGAGGGACCCACTGGGCAGCGACCACAACAACTCTACAGCTGCCCAACGGCCCACACGAGTCAAGCGGCCCAGCCCGCGCACCCACGGGCCTGAATGGAACAACTGAGCCCGCGAGCACGACTACTTCAGGGGAGACACACGAAGAGCACACCATCCAGTGGATCAGGACGAACCGGCGGCTACCTACTTTCCTCTTCCCCAACCCTAGTTCTTCCCCTGTTCATTCTCCATTCGAGAGCGATGCTCCTGTAATCGATTTGTACTAGCTACTACTTCGGAGAGCAACAGTAGATCGATTCCCTCATCCAGTCTCTAACAATTTCTTATTTGAGGAGCCAGAACATGCTGTACTCATAGCCTTGCGCAAGCTGGCACAATGCTAGGGGACAAGCCATGCCAGAGCATGGTGGTGACTGTCTCCCTAGTTATCCCTTTGCTATAACCGTAGCTCCTGATATCGTCTCCTGCCATCCCTCTCGCCATCCTGTAACCCAAACCGTAAGAACGGAGAATATATTGTGCTGCATATTCTTTTCCACAATTTTTCTGCAGTCCATGTTTTTTCTCTTCATGGTATTATTGCCAACATATCGAGTTTCTGTCTCACTCAAATTGTACATATAGGACTGCAAGTTTTAACATCAGGTGTTTCTGCATGGTTGGATGAGAGGATACACGGTCAATCTTATCTGAGGTGATACATTTGAAGCTACCATGGTTGCTATCTTCTTATCCTTGTCTATTTTTAATATAGGTTGTGTATAAGAAGCCTGATTATTTCCTTTTCCAGTCAATAGTTTGTGGACTCAAATGCACCCATAACTGTAAATGATTATCTATTCTATAGGAAAAATACAATCGTGGCATCAGAGAATGAAAATCCACCTTTAATGCCTGCTATCATGACTCCTGGTGGCCCTCTGGATCTGGCAACCGTACTGCTAGGAAACCGTATAATCTTCATTGGTCAATACGTTAACTCGCAAGTGGCACAACGTGTGATATCACAGCTTGTCACACTTTCTGCTATAGATGAAGAGGGTGATATTCTGGTTAGTGTACATTTTTTTATTGGAGGTTCAAAATTAATTTTATAACGTAACATTTGCCTTATTGTGTGTGTGTGTGCGCGCGTGCGCGTGTGTATCTGGCCCCTCGATTTGTTGAATTACTCAATGTGTTCTTCTTCTATATCAGATATATCTTAACTGCCCTGGCGGAAGTCTCTATTCTATCTTAGCAATTTATGATTGCATGTCTTGGGTACGTTATCTATAATCTCTCCAGCTTAGCAATTTATGATTGCATGTCATGGGTACATTATCTATAATCATTGTAATTCACCACTATAATTCATGCCACATTCTTAATATTTCTAGTTCCATTATATATATTTTGTTTCTTGTTCACCCGGCACAATAATGCTTCCATTTGATTAAGATTTATGTTGTTGGCACTAGAATCATTGCACACACAGCACCAAACAATTTTGAGTCTGTCGTGTATAGACCTCCTTGGCCAGTGAGCTTACATATAAAACGAGCCAGTGAGCTTACTCGTAGTATTAAAAGGAAATAATAATGTTATGCAAAAGCCGCTCTTGTGTCCATGGTGTTGTTTACAAGAGATGTAATATTAAATTGGTACATAAACCTGAGCAATTCCTGTGCTGGGCGGCTCCAAGTAGGCTTTGGTACGGTTCTGCTTGCCACATGCCTCATTTCCCAAATCTGGTTTAGCCTTAGAAACTGTTTTTTGGGCTGGCTAGGCCAAGTACTTATGTCTTGTACATAGATCACACATGGAGCTTCACCATTGCTTCTTTTGCCTTCTTCTACTTCGCTTAGCATCTTTTTACGACATATAATGAGAATTTTCTTTTGCTGCGTCTCAGGCCCTTAGATTTGTAATGCTGGTGGTGTCATTGGATGTTTCATGGGATAGTCGGAAAAATAATGTTGTAAAATGATGAAGTGTGAACTTATCCGTAAAACAGGAAAACCGATGTACTCCAGACAGGGACTCGCATTATGTGTGGTCAATGTCTATTGTTAGACTTTCCTATTTCCCACAAAACTAACAGAGCGACGCATGTTTATGTGGCTAGATTTGTGAAATAATCTTCAGTTCACATATCTGATACTAATGTTTTTTTTGCTTGTGCTGATTTGAATGCTCACGGTAGACATGTAAAACTATAAGTAAGATGTAACAAAAATGAAGTTTTAGTGTAATTGGGTTCTTTGGTAATCTTAAATTTGTTGCTAAAGAATACATTCCACTTTTGACACTATGTGCACGTCAAAACCAATACCTAGCTTAAGAATTAATTTTGACACAAATGTACCTGATTAAGAACCCGAAAATAAGAATGTTGCTAATCATAGCATTTTTGACCATTCTAGTGGGGTTGGTTGGCATTTAACTGTCGATGTGGCACTCCACCTAGTCACTTCCTGTAGGTTGCTCAACATTTTAGCTGTAATCCTTGTGTTACTTAGCTGTAGCTGCATTTCCTTGTAAGACAGTGTATGTGTTAAGAGTTGTGTCGAATATTATTGTACAAGGTAGGTTACAGTTGGACTTGGTTTTGGATTGTGTATAGACAGGGTAAGAGTTGTGTCCTAATAGGACACTTGTGTCCTAGGCCTCTCATATATATCGGGGGTAGACACACGATGTAACCTATGCCAACATAATAGCACGGGCACGCGGGGGCTGCGCTGAGCCGAAGAGACGTAGGACACACACGAGATTTGTTGTGAAAAAAAGGGGCTACGCAAAAGACTGGTGCTATCCATCGGAGGAAAAGATAGGATAAGCTAATTGAACTACAGCCTACAGGAGCACGTGGTGAAGTTGTGGAGTTTTCCATTGATCTTCATGGTGAAGTGCACACGGCAAAACTTATGTAGTGGAGTTTGGCTTTATCTCTTTGTACATGGTAGTGTACGAGGATGGTAGCGTGAGAGTGTGTGGAGTGTGTGGCGAGGATAGCGACATGTGTATAAGGTTCGGAGGAGTCTTGAGTATGTCGGCAGGGATCGTGCATACACATGGCGTCAAGCAATGCACCGAGATATGCGGGGCGGACACGACGCAGGGTGAAGCATGATTGCAGTCGGATAATTTCGACTGGGTCGGACTGGATTGCCTGATGGATTGACATGGATGTTGGTCAAACAAGAAGACAGTGGTGATTTCGGCGACGACGACATAGGGGCGTGATGCTGATGGTGACCGACTTCTGGGGCGTGGAAACACGTGGTGCAGGCCTGAGGGCTTGTGCGGCTTCGGCAAGACTATGGCGCAAAGTTGATTCAAGGCAATGTACACATGAGAGCTTGAAGTCGACAGGGCGCGGGGGTGGCATGTACAACCACCATGGAGTCATGTTGAAGGTGGAGCTGGAGTCTGATGGACGACTTCACTCTGTGCTGATGGAGGGGCTACGACGTAAATGCATGGAGAGTCGAAGACTAATTCAGCGGGATAGCGAGAGACCCGTGGATCGGGCTGGGTACCAGTGGTCTGGTGGAGACGTGATACTCTTGCATCGGTCGGTGATGATCGGTGGTTCTCTGTAGTAGGGGTTGAGTGTTGTGGGTATGCGACCCTGGAGACTCAGCCAGGACAGTAGAGGCTCGACGCGGTGATAGCGGCGAGGCGTGCGGTAAGCACGGAACACAGCAACAGGCCAAGGCACCGGGGGCCATACATGTGGTCAGACAAACTGTGCAGGGGTGCTGAAGCAGTGTTGATGAGTACCAGATTCAAGTTGGTGACTGGGTCTATCGGTGCTAGTTGATTGACATGAGTTGACCATGGAGAATCTGAGAAAGTGGCGGAGAGTCTGAAATTGTCAAAAGTTGAGAGAGTACATGTCCGTATAATCTATGGTGTTCAGTGCACATGCAAAGTGCGGATGGCAAATATAGAAGGAGGCGGAGTGCTATAGCTGTGGGACATGCTAGAGACTATCCGGAAGAAGGGTGAGACAACTGCGAATTTGACTTAGGGTGACACAGGGCGACGGTGAAATTCCTTCAAGTTTCAGACAAGCAGTCAAGAAAGAGCGGTGACGTTGAGTTCAAGTAACTCTTATATGTGGCGTCCAATATGTGAGTTGTTCATTTTCACGCAAATAGTGGTCGGTGTGTGATGGCGTTGAACAAATTCTCCGGAAGATTGGGAGCACAAAGTAGAGTAATGAGGAACTTAATTTTGCTTGAGTGTTGACTGTGAAGAAGATGAGAAAGGACTACAGTTGCAGGTGGAGTCACATGGAGTATGAGAGTAGCAGCGATGCTCATGGCGTATTTCAAGTCCAATGTATATGGAGGTTCGACACACACATGAATTCAAGGTGGTGAAGAATATTCGCCAAGGTGGAGTTTGTTAGAGTTGTGTTGAATATTATTGTACAAGGTAGGTTACAGTTGGACTTGGTTTTGGACTGTGTGTAGACAGGGTAGGAGTTGTGTCCTAATAGGACACTTGTATCCTAGGCCTCTCATATATATTGGGGGTAGACACATGATGTAACCTATGCCAACATAATAGCACGGGCACGCGGGGGGAGCCGGCGTCGTGTGCTGGCGCCCGGGCGGCTGGGGTGCGGTATTTTAGGGTGTCATGGGGAGGAGCGCCTGTAGTCAAGCCCCAGGGATGTAGCCATGATGGTGAACCTCGTTAACAAATCTCGGTGTTGTGCTTGTGTGATTGCTTGGTCCTCGGTAGATCGACGGAGCGTCTCGGATTTATTCTAACAGTATGCACCTAGACAACTAGTAGTCAATTTGCTTTTTTGCTTGTACTAGCAGCTGCTAGAGTTGCATGGTCGGTTTAGACTTAGCAACCGACTTGCCCTGTACTATATATATGCCTCAAGGCAATAATACAAAAAATAGCTTCAAGAAATCAAACTATCCTGTGTTCAGCCCTAGCTCCTCTCTGCTTCTCTACTTTAACCTGTTTCTAACATTTGGCATCAGAGTAAGGTGTTGATCCAAGACTGTGTCAGCTTCAGTGGATGGCCACACCGGTCACTGCCCATAGTGGCACGTCCATCTTCGACGTTCCCCTTCCGCGTAGCCAAGGCGCCGTCGTCGCCATGATGGTCCAGTGGTGGTCGTCCAGCGCGTGGTGATGGAAGTCGGCGGTGCGGTGTTCCCGCAGCTGACTCAGAGCAACTATGAGGATTGGAGCCTCTTGAGTGAAGATGGAGGTCGTGGTCTATGGGACACCGTCAAATTCGGCGACGTAGACCACCAGGAAGATCGCATGGCGCTTGAGGCCGTCCTGAGAGCCGTGCCATAGGAGATGATCCACGCCCTGGCTGTTAAGAGGACAACCAACGAAGCTTGGGAGGCGATTCGACATTGATCGCGTCTGCAAGTCCATGGTGTAGAAGTTGCGTCGGGAGTGGGAGCTGCTCACTTTGCTAACCCTAGAAAGGATGAGGGGAATGGATATATATAGTATAGGGATGGACGGGTAGGTGGGTTATACAAGGCAACATTGGCCAAATCCTGGGATGGATGATCTGGAAGCATAGGAACGCGTGCGTTTTTGACCATGTAAACCCATCGCTCAATGAGCTTGTCGACAGGATCAAGGACGAGACCAGATGTTGGGCAAAGGCCAGGGCTCAAGGGCTCAGGGTCGTTCTGCCATCAGGGATGTCCACTGGTCTCTTGGTGGCTGTGTAACTCTGCCTCCTAGGAGGATGTAAATTCCCTATCTTTCTAATGCAATGAAACACAAAGGCCATTTGCGTTTTCTCGAAAAAATACTGGCCAAATCAGGCCGGGTCAGAGCAACTATGAGGATTGGAGCCTCTTGAGTGAAGATGGAGGTCATGGTCTATGGGACACCGTCGAATTCGGCAACGTAGACCACCAGGAAGATTGCATGGCGCTTGAGGCCGTCCTGAGAGCCGTGCCGCAGGAGATGATCCACGCCCTGGCTGTCAAGAGGATAACCAAGGAAGCTTGGGAGGCGATCCAGCATTGATTGCGTTTGCAAGTCCATGGTGTAGAAGTTGCGTCGGGAGTGGAGCTGCTTCTGGGATAGCGGCCGGACAGTCCGGCGCCTGATGGATGCGTGTCTTCGTGGCTGGTGCGGGGTCAGGCTGCTACTGATCTCCAGAGGCAGGGCAATTTGGGGTGGTGTCCGGACAGTCCGGCTTTGCCATTTTGCTTTCGGGTGCCTTCGACGCTAATCCTCGACAAACAGCTGGACAATAAGTCAAGTGGTTGTTT